TCTACGTCAAATAGCTTACTTATTTCTTAAAAAAGCTAGCTAAAAAATATCTAAAATGTTGTGTATCGATGAATGAAAACGTTACGTTACGTAATAGTTATTTTTCTATATTTTGTTGTATTGAAACGTCGAATTAATTTTTTTTTTTTGACCTAGGAAACTACCCAATTACTACGTTTTAAAGAAATCATCAGTTATCAAATTTTAGCTCGATGGCTCTTTAAGGACCCTAGCCGGGGCTGTTGGTAAAACGTAGTAAAGTACCGTGGCTTTGGCCTGAAGTAGGAGAAGTAACGGGGAGGATTTTAGTCAGTAAGAGTCTGACACTTGCCATACCCTTGGCCAGAGAAGTCATTTGATGATTTTCCCCACCCAAAAATACCTTATTATTACCTCATTATAGATATCTCTAATGAGACAGGTTTCTAAGGGTAGTTGGATTTTAACAACAACAACTTGGAAGTCCTGCTTTAATAAAACGTCATGGCGACTTGATAATTCAAACATTGTCGAGTCCGTCGGCCATCTTGATAAGTGACAGTTATTTGAAAATGGGCGCGAAAAACGTTCAACATGGCGTCTGGTAGTCTATGATCTATCGGTTTAAGTAACTAACTTAGGGCTGTTTTTTCAATGGTTAGATAAAAGTTAACTGGGAAATAATTATGATGTTGTCGCGTCAGAATGTTTGTAGAAGACAGTGACAGCAACAATTTTATTCCTCAGATAACATTTATCTGTCTATCAAAAATTCAACCCTAAATGTACAGAATCTTGTCATGTCTTTTTATTTAAAAGTTGTTTTAAAATTGTATGTAAAAATGTTTTCAATCGGGTATTTACCTAAATCGATGTTAGCTAATAAACTGTATTTAAATAATCTTTGTATGTTATTTTAAACGAGCTCTTTAATATAAAAAGACATACCAACATTGTTTACCTTTAGTTAGCCACCTAAATCATACTATTTATATCCAGTTAGAGCTATTTATCATAACGTTTCCAATTTTATTACGTAACCAAATCATTAGTTTACTATAAGTTAGTTACTATACATTTAAATAGTAATTCTTGGAATACGTAAGTTGGCAACATCGGTATTGGAAGGCCAATTGGGTAGTTTTTTTAGTCTTAAAAAAAAATCACACTTTTCTTTTGAATTCTTGCGGCATTTACTTGGATACTTAAAGAGTAATATGTATGATAGGAATGCCGAAAAAATTATGACGTAAAAATGTGCAATTTCAGTTACATTTTCAAAGTAAAGAATTTGACTAGTCAGAAACTACCCATTGGTCAACTTTTGCCCCTTTCTAAGGATGTCCTTTAAAATAAAATAGAATGCATTTTTTGCAATTTAAGGTTAAGTACAGATGATAGCACATCAATGTCAACAGACAAATATTTTCTAGCTTAGATAGAAAGTTTAATTTTTTTTTATACTCAAACCTTCTCCGTGTGAAAAGAGGCCTTTGCTTAGCAGAGGGCGCTTATGGCTGATAAATGATGATGATAAAATATTAGTATCGTAAGACATACCGTAAGTTCTGGTTACTTTGACCCTGGGAGGTAACTTTGATCCAAATTTTCGAACCAATGAAAAACGAATATATGTTTGGTTCTCAGTTATTATTGGTTAAGGGGTTTGGATCAAAGTTACCCCGAAGGGTCAAAGTAACCCGAACTTATTAAATTTATTAAAAAATAACGACTAAATCACGTGATATTAGGTATTGACTAAATCTCTAACAATTCTATATCTAAAGCTAAAGAGTTTATTTGTTTGAACGCGCTTATCTCAGGAATTACTGGTTCGAATTTAAAAAATCTTTTTTTTTTAAATAGACCACTTATTGAGGAAGGCACAGATTTTTATGAAATTTTACACAAAGATAGATTATAGTCTGGAATCTACACTAATATTATAAAGAGGTATATTTTGTAAGTTTGTATGTTTGTAAGTTTTTATGTAGGGAGTAATCTTAGGAACCATTGGTCGGATTTCCAAAATTCTTTAACTTATAAAACATCACGCTACGATCTGTACAAGCCGAGCAGCGGGTGAAACCGCGCGAGAGTAGGTAGTATACTTACATATAAAAATGAATAGGAAAAAGTGTTGGTAAGCGCATAACTCAACAACGCCTGGATCAATTTTGCCAATTTTGGAGAGTGAAGGTTCTTATTAAAGAAAATATTAGAAAACTGTATGGGAATATTGGGAAAACTGACCCTTTCGTTGTTAGCGAGATAGTTGGACTCGTGCAAAGGATTTATTGGAAAATAGTAACCATGGAGTTTCTTGCTCGTTCTTCTCAATAGAAATCTACACTTTGGAACGAGCAAATAGCTTCACTAGAGGACTGACTGATGGACCAATTTTTTGATATTCATTTTTCGTTCGACGTTCAAAAGTGTCTTTTATATTTGAAACTAGCTACAGTCCCGCAGTTTTACCCGCTGCTAGGCTCCTAAATATCGCAGCGTAATAGCCTTCTTCGGATAAATGGACTAACAAAAAGAATAGTTCAATTCGAACCAGAAGTTAGAGAGATTTGACTGCACGGTTAGTGCGGGTCCGATTCCCGCACGGAACAACTCTTTGTGTGATCCACAAATTGTTGTTCCGCGTCTAGGTGTCATGTGTATGTGAAATTGTATGTTTGTAAACGCATCCACGACACATGCGAAAATCCAAGTGTGGGGCAACGTTGCTTTTTTTTTAAAAAAAAAAAGATTAATGCGTTCTAGCAAACAAACTACAGCTTTATAATATTAGTACATTAAGGACTTGGACTTTACTAGTTTCAACTTACATCGGGAATTTCGAGCGAGGTCTCTCTCTCTCTCTCGACGATGCGCACGAATAAGAGTCCCGTTGTGACTTGAAAATAGTAGAGCTATTCTCAATCAATGTCACGTGACTTAATCGTTAGTTTCAATAAATATATGTGTATAATTTTAGTTAATCTTTTCTTTTATCATCATCATCAGCCTATAAGAGCCCACCGCTGAGCAAAGGCCTCTTCTCATACGGAGAAGGTAAGAGCGGTAATCACCACGCTAGCTCAAGGCGGATTGGCGATTTCAAACTTATAATTAGAAATTACAAGTCCAGGTTTCCTCACAATGTTTTTCCTTCACCGTATGTCAGTGGTGTCTAAATAATCATAGAAAGTACATATATATATATACACCCTCATGCATGAGAAGCGGGCTCCTTAACCTCCGAGCCACCACGACATCTTTTCTTTAGTGTTATTATGCATAATATGTGAACTAAGTATTCCTTAGACAATGGAACAATAGAAATCTTATTAATAATATGTGTTTCACTTTATATGATGAATGTATAAAGAAAATTTTATTTTTAAAGGACATCCTTTTGAGGTGAATAACTTGGTCAAGTATATATCAATTATAATGAATACCCAACCTTTGAAAAAAGAGCAACAATGTGTTTACATACTTCATAACGGACAGACAATAACTGTCTTTTTACTATAGGGTAATAACAAACTAGTCAAACTCAATATTTTATCCGAAATATCAAATACTAGCTTCTGTCGCGCGATTTCACTCGCTGCTCGGCTCCTACAAATCGTAGCGTGATGTTTTATAGCCTAAATTATGTTTTCGGCTTACTCACGTAATAATTTGACGAGATACTCGACTAGTTTCAAGCCATGCTAGGGGCCCGTATTCATGAGCAGCATTCCGCGACACGCGACGCGGCGACTGTCGCGCTGTTACATATAAATATGGGCCTCTAGCATGGCTTGAAACTAGTCGAGTATCTCGTCAAATTATTACGTGAGTAAGCCGAAAACATAATATTATTATTAATTTAGTATGTCTCACGATATTTATAATAAAAAAAGTACAATTACGAGTTTAATTATCGGTCTCTGATTTACCAGTCATTCTAAATAAATAATCTTTCGTATTTAAAAATCAAATTTTCAAGAAACAACTGTACTCAACTTTAACACCCGGTTTCCGAAAGGCCGATCAATGTGCATTTGACTGCACGGTTGGAGCGGTGGCTGGCAACTGGCTGGCGCGCAACGTGTTGCGACTTCGATTCCCGCACGGAACAACTCTTTGTGTAATCCACAGATTGTTGTTCCGGGTCTGGGTGTGAAATTGTATGTTTGTAAACGCACCCACGACACAGGAGAAAATCCAAGTGTGGGGCAACGTTTTATTTAAAAAAAATGTTAATATCAATTTAATCTCAAGTCATCTGATTGGTTGACTGAATTATCAACAGCCAATCAGATGACTTGACGAGAGATTTGACACCTATTTAGTTGATTTTAACATTGATCAGGCTTTCGGAAATCGGACATAAGACGCAAGAAAACAAAAACAATCATGTCATTATTCTCAATTTGATTTACAATGGCTACATAGTATAAAACAAAGTCGCTTTCTCTGTCCCTATATCCCTATGTACGCTTAAATCTTTAAAACTACGCAATAGATTTCTATGCGGTTTTTAATAAATAGACACCTGGTTTCTGAAAGGCTTGTCAACGTTAAAATTAACTAATCTCCTGTTAGACAAGTCATCTGATTGGTTGTTGATAATTCAGTCAACCAATCAGATGACTTGAAAAGAGATTAAATTGACTTTAACATTGATCGGCCTTTCGAAAACCGGGTGAGAGTGATTGAAGAGGAAGGTTTATATGTATAATAACATCCAGTGAAAATTAGTATCAGCGTTGCTTTCGTGCGAAGCCGTAAAATATTGAATTTGACTAGTCCGTTTAATAGTAATAGTAGTACATAATAATCAACATTATATAGTCAGCTTTTGCCGGCGATTTCACCCGCGTGTTACATTGACAAAAATTTGCCAACGTCCTATTCCGGAGTGTATCTTAAGCCTGTGGCAAATTTCATCCAAATCCGTCCAGGCGTTTTGGCGTGATTGAGTGACAAACATCCCAACATAGTAACTTTCGCATTTGTAATATTAAAGTAAGATAGCAAAAATCTAAACAAGGTTTATCTCCCTGACATGCCTGGGCGTTCACAGTCGTCCGTACATCTGCAATCTTCGGAAATAGAATCTAAAGACATAAGGCTTTCCTGCGACTGTCGCAAGCAAGCCCTACATCGGGAATCGACCGAGTTCTCAGAAACAGACTCCAAAGATCTGAGACTCTCCACCGAAGTCAATTTATAAGACCTTCTGAATTCGGCTATATCTTCCTCGCTCATATTCAGAGCTAGAAGGGAGTCTTTGGCTATTTTCCCTAAAGAAGAGACTTTCTTCTTTTTCTTATTCAGAATCGATTCCATTTTTGTTAGGGGGCAAGGCTTGTTTAGACTTTCTGGTAGAGATTTCGGGCTGGAACCGCTTCTCGTTCGCAATTTGGACCTTCTCTCCGGTATATCCCTAGGTGTGGTTCCTTCGGGGATTTTGAAAACTATAGTCTTCGCTTTAGGGCTCTTCTCGTCCGAACACTGCGGTAGATTCTCTAAAGAATTAGATTTCTTTATTTTCGCCCGTTCCGGTATTATTGGCGATGTACGCAAACCGATTATTTCTTTGGCCGTAAATACGTTGTCTCGTATTGTGTTGTTTTCGTCGATAACTAGTTCGGGTGATAGATCCAAAATTTCTTTATTTTCAGCTTCTTTTAATTCTTCAGCTAGAGATCCCTGTTGTGCAGTCGTGTTAACAATATTTTCGGTACCGATTTCAAAATCTCTATTCTCGTAGATCAAGTATGAAAGGGCGTCTCTACCTAAATCGATTTCCGTAGACTTCGCTTGTGTGTCAGTTTCCAAAACTCTATTCTCAATACTCAATTCGTCTATTTTATCATCTATGAAGGCTAACTGTAGGGTATCTTCGTATAATGTGTCTTCCATAGTCGCTATGGGAGCTAAATCACTTTGAACCTTAACGTCATCGGATTTAGACTCAATTGTACTTGGTTCCCAGATACTGACAGTTGTTATGCGAACTTGTTTTTCTAGCTCCTCGGCTAGAGCTTCCGTGTTAGACATGCTCGATGTCAAAGTGTTTTCTGGGCTAATATTTTCTTTGATGCCTCGTATTACTTTGCTGGGGAGCTTATCGACAGACTGTAAATTTTCACTATTACTTTGTTTATCTAAAGAGTTCTCGGAGCCAGAACTTTTGAGAACGGCCGCAAAAGACCTCGGTCTTTGCTCCTTATCGTCTTTCTCATCCTTCTTAGTATTACTAATTAAGCTTACATCTATATTTTGTACTATAATATCTTCGGTGGTCAGGGTAACTTTATCATCCATTTCACATTCATGCGTTGGGAATGAATGGAACTCGCTCAACGTATTATCAGTGTCCGTCGACGGAGTTTTCGAATCAAGTTTCTTTGAGAATGATTCATCGACGAATGAGACTTGCACTCGCTCCGATAGAGTCGAGTCTGTTGCTTCTGAACTATCTTCTTCTCTTTCCTTCTCTACCGCTGATCCCCAAGACCAGAAAGAGCTAGATAGAGATAGATCTCTTCTTGGCGGTGTGTTCGACACCTTTTTATCGTCGTCAGTCGTTAAGCTTCTTGAAAATATTAAGCTTGGATGCTGGAATATGCTTAGAAGCTTCTCTAAATGGGATGGTTTCGCTTCTTTTTCTTCTGGACGGGGTATGTGGAAGCTGGACGAGGGTGCTACCCAGGAGATCTTTCTAATACGATCCCTTATACCCTTATTTTCTAACGCGGGTACGTCTAGCAAACTCGACGTGCGTTTCGGTGAAGCGCTATCATCTAAATGAAGAGCTTCGGTCTTCTTGATTGATTCCTTCAAACTAGAATTATTTGTCAGAGTACCCTCGTTGGAGGAATTGTCCTCTTTGCTCTCTAGAGGATGCTGTAGAGAGTATTCTATTCCAGAATCAGCTGATGTGACCATCAATCTCTCTTGTTTAGTCGAATCCAAGGAGCTTACACTAGCTTCTAAGCTGGATAAGGAATCGTGAATAACTTTAGTTTTTCCAAATATTGGGGAAACGCTTTCATTGGAACTGACGGATAGATTTAAGAGATTACTAGAGTTTATAGGTGTGACTTCGCTTCCAGACTCTAGACTGCCTTCGTTGGAGAGCGCCGCGGATTTTCTCCTATCCAACTCTTGGATAGATTTCTGTTCGTTAAGACTCTCCATTGAACTCTCAGATATTTCCAACGAAGAGCTACTGTCGAATACACTCGTATGCACGCCACTTCCCATGAACCTAGAAACTTCCAAGTCCGGGCTATCCAGACTGGATTCACTTTTATTCTTCTTTAAGATAACACTATCGACAGGTACATCACTTAAACTAGGTTTAATTTTAACTATCTTAATTTGAGTTAAACTATTAACATTGTCCGTTTGGTTTATAATCACTTTGGTTTTTTTGTCCCTTTTTACTGCATCACTATAACTAATTTCACTTTGTTTAATACTAGTTATCACACGCGGTTTCGTTTCGCACGCTTTCACAGTTTGAATTTGGGCCGTCTCGTCATTTTTATGGTCAGTGCGTTCACTGGTTTGGTTGGTCGACGTTCCCGAATCAGTGACGTCTAAATCATTTTCGGGGAATTCTTCAATGGTTGCTATTAAAGGTTTCGTTATAACAGAGTGCGTTGGCGATGTTTTTAATTTGTCTTTTAAGGAAGATTGGTTTGGAAGCTCTATTTGAATGTTTTCATTGTCATTTTTGCTAACTTTTACACTTTCTTTCGATGTTTCGTATGTTATTTCTGTACTGTCTTCTGCGAGACTGATTACTGGTATTCTTGATTCAGTATTTTCGTCAATATTACTCGATACAGTACCTGTTCTTAATACTACTATATTATCGTTTTTAGTATCTATATTTTCAACATTTGTTACATGTGTTCTTTCATCCGATTTCATAGTTGAGTCTTTAAATTCTTTATCTAATTCAATTTCTATGGCAGATTTAGTATCAACACTTTGCTTTTCTATAGAATCTTGATCGATCCTCACTATTTTTAAACCAAATTGGTCTATTGAATCATTGTTAATAATTCTCTCTTTAACAGTTTCATTCTGAAGTTGGGTCGTAACAACATTTTTATGTGTATCCATAACATCTGTAGGTTTTTGACTTGTTAAACTTTTATCATCAACTTCAGATTTCTGTTGTGTTGGAAAATGACTAATTTGCGTTGTCACGAGATTTTTGGCAGATATTTCTGTGGCGCTAGTATCGGTTTTGGGATCGTCGGATATATTTTCTTTATGTGACGATTCCTTTTTAGATTGCTTCATGGCTTCGCTTCTGACTTGAGTAGTTATAACTTTCTTAGGTTTATTTGTATCTATTTCTTCTTTTTTAATTTGCGTGTGTACTTCATTATGGGATTCAGGTTTGCTTTGAGCATTATCTTTATGTACGACGTCAATTTTATCATTATTCTTCCATTCAGCGCTTGCTTCTGTTAATTTTTTCTCTTGAGCACTTATATCGGGAACAGTTTTTTGGTCACCAACAATAACAACATCGCTTTTTTGTGGAACGCAAACGTTTGATATATTTTTCTGCTGATCGCTTATCTGATGAGCGCTTACAATGGCTTCCTTAATTTGTGTATCGTAAACAGTAACTTCTATTTTAGGTTTACTTAATTTTTTCTCTTGAACGCTGATTGGAGCTTCCTTTTTCTGTTCAGCGCTAACATTAACTTCGTTCTGTTTGACGCCAGCATCGCTAACTGGTGTACATTTCACTTGAGCGCTAACTTCTATTACATTTTTCGCTTGAGCGCTAATATCTGACAAATTCTTCCCTTGAGTGCTAATATCTGACAAATTCTTCGATTGAGCGGTAATATGTGACAAATTCTTCGCTTGAGCGCTAATATCTGACAAATTCTTCCCTTGAACGCTAATATCTGACAAATTCTTAGCTTGAGCGCTAATATCTGACAAATTCTTTGCTTGAGCGCTAATATCAGACAAATTCTTCGCTTGAGCGCTAATATCTGACAAATTCTTCGTTTGAGCGCTAATATCTGTCAAAATTTTTGAATGAGCGCTAACATCTGTCAAATTTTTCGCTTGAGCGATAATATCTGACAAATTCTTCGCTTGAGCGCTAATATCTGACAAATTCCTCGCTTGAGCGCTAATATCTGTCAAATTTTTCGCTTGAACGCCAACGTTAGCTTCATGTTTGAGTTGAGTGACGACTTCGTTTTGTAGTTGAGTGTACAGAGTTGGCTGGGCGGGGCTGTTAGGTGGAGTTGGATTTGGATTGTAAACGGAATCATAGTTCCGCGTGACGGAAAACCTAGATGGAGACTTCCTGGGCTGTGTGGACGCCGGATGTACTTGTATCTGAGGCGGTTCCAGGACCTGGAAACAAAAGAAATTAAGTCAAAGTCATTTATTCCAACTAAACCATAAATAGGTACTTTTGAAACGTCAATATACAAAAGTAGTCTGTCAGTCTGTACGTCAGTGAAGCTAGGTGCTCGTTCCAAATTGTACTTGCAAATAGAGAAGAACAAACAGAAACTCCACCGTTACTCTTTTAAAAAAATTGTTTTACCATTTCACTAATAATTCAAGACACACTAGAAGAACGAAACGAAAGAAACATACATGCATACATTTCACATTTATTATATTAGATACTAGCTTTTGCTTGCGACTCCGTTCGCGTGGATCAATAATGACTTCCTGCAGATTTTTGTTATAAAAACTATCCTATGTCCTTTCTCGAGTTCCAAACTATGTCTGTACCAAATTTCACAGAAATCGGTTCAGTAGTTTAGGCGTGAAGAAAAGACAGACAGACAGTTACTTTCGCATTTATAATAATAGGTCTTTACCTATGAAATTGCCGTTTTGCATGAAAAAATTTAAACGCATTTTTTGATTTGAATGGCCAGTACTGCAGAACTGCAATTTCATAGGTATTAGGCTATATACTATTACCTATTATTAGTTTGGATTTAGGATGTTATTTAGTTACCTGTACGACTCGGAATCTCGACGGAGGACAGTACGCCAGTCTGGTGGGAGTCGAGGATGCTGAAGACGTGGACCCACCACTGCTGTCCGTCGAGGAATCACGCTCTGGAGTCACTCGAGTCACCTGGCAATCATATACAGTTGGTTCGTTAGAAGTTTTTTTTAATTGCAGAGCAGACGGATTACCTGATGGTAAGCAATCAGCGCCTCCCATAGACACTTGTAACAAGTGCATTGCTAGCTGTTTGGGGATTAGGGATTTGTGAATTTTGGGATTGGGCTTCCGGTAATCTCACTCAGGCGGCAAAACACAATACTGTGGTTGTTTCACGCGGGTTTTCTGTGAGGCCGTGGTATTACTCCGGTCGAGCCGACCTATTCGTGCTGAAGCATGGTTCTCTAACACTCAAAATAAAATTAAAATGTGATACATACTCTAAAAAATCACAGCGTTGTGTTTCGCTGTGTGAGTGAGATTACTGGAGGCCCAATGCCACCCCTCTCCCAATCCGTTCCCTTTCCCAAAATCTCCAAATCCCTAATCTCCAAAAAGGTCGTCAATGCACTCGTAACTCCTTCGTCGTTGCGGGTGTTCATGGGTGACGCTAATTGCTTACCAGCAGGTAATCCGTTTGCTCGTTTGCTGACCTTATCAAATAACTGAACTGACTACACGGTTGGTGCTGTGGCTGGGCAACTGGTTGCCGCGTAACGTGCCGCGGGTTTAATCCCCGCCCGGAACAACTCTTTGTGTGCTCTATAAATTGTTGTTCCGGGTCTGCGTGTGATGTGTATGTGAAATTGTATGTTTGTCAACGCATCTACGACACAGAAAGAAATCCTAGTGTAGGGAAATGTTTAAAAAAAACAAAGAAAATTAGGTAAGCTGTTACTGACCATGAACCTGGAGGAGGGATGCGGGGCGGGCACGGGGCTGCCGGCGGGGGAGGGCGCGGGCGAGGCGGCCGGGGACGGCGCCGGGGACCGCAGCCGGGGCCGGACCTCCTCCTCCGGACCACACACACCTTGCTGCAACGAGAACCATGCACACTCATTATTAACACTTTCATTACCACTACATTTCTTTTTACCCTTACCACTAAAATTTTCACAATGATATCTCGGATGCCGCCTACATTTCTCCTACATTTTAGGCCGCTATCTCACGGACCTAAGGCCGCTATACCACTAGGCGTTTTACTAGCGTTGACGTTAACGTTGCATTTGCGCAGCGTTAACGCGGCTTCGACGCATAACAAACATCCGCAAACATTAACATCCGCTGGACGCAAAGTCAACGTCGCGTATGGGCAACAGGTACTATCATGCCGTCTTGCTCTATCAAATATTTTCCTACAAAGGTAACTTTAACGCCGCGTCCAGTGAACGTTAATGTCTTACAATGAAACAATGAATTTATTTTTGGAAATAGGCCATAAAACGGCACTTTTACACGTCAATTTATATATGAAAACCTAGATGAAGCTGGCATTTCCTATCTGACTACTCTGAGAAGAAATGCCGAAACAAACTCAGAGGTCAGTCTCTTTTCAAGTCCAGACAATGTAAAAATAACATAATGTGAGAGAACCGTGCAATTTCATTCTGTAGTGGTCTTTTGATGAAAGAACCACACCAGTTTAAGTGGACCCGTTCTGAAGACAGGCACGCAAGTGTCAGTTACCACGCGACGACGCGGCGTCAACGCTGCGCTAACACAACGTTGACGTCAACGCTAGTAAAACGCCTAGTTTTATAGCGGCCTTACGTTCAACTCGCCGGGCGAGTCCACGGCATGGAGTTTCATACACAACATGGAGTTTCTTGCTCGTTCTTCTCCATTCGAATCTACAATTTGGAATGAGCACCTAGCTTCAATGACGAACAGACTGACAGACTACTTCTCTATTTTGACGTTTCAAAAGTACCTATTTATGGTTTAGTTGGAATAAATGATTTTGAATTTGACTTTGACTTTGTTGGACGAGTCGGTGGCACTCAATGTGTTCTAAAAGACCTGATTTGGATATCAAACTTGAACAAAGAAAAATTTCGATATTTTTCTAGTTATTTTTTTTAAGAAATATGTAAACTATTAGACGCTAACATACTAAGAAGTCATAATCTGGAGATTAATAAAAAAAATGAAAAAAATTAATTGGAAAAGTGTAATTTTTACATTGGGATAAAAGTATTGAATTTGACTAATTGAAATCTGCTGTATTATAGCGACTTCGGTGCAGATTCGAAATCTAGCAAGTACCAATACGACTTTTTTCCACCAATATGTACTTTCTATGATTATTTAGACACCACTGACATACGGTGAAGGTAAACATCCTGAGCTACCTGCACATATAATTTCTAATTATAAGTTTGAAATCGCCAATCCGCCTTGAGAAAACGTTTTGATTCATGCTCAAACCTTCTCCGTGTGAGAAGAGGCCTTTGCTCAGCAGTGGGCACTTATAGAATAATGACTTTTTTCTTGGCCAAAGGTGGGGCGGGAAGTAGTTTCAGAGTCTTACTGACTAAAAACCCCCCCGTTCCTTCTCCTGCTCTGGGCCGAGGACGCGGTGCCTCATTGCGCTTACCCCGCAACCCCGGCTGAAGATGTTATAGTGATTATTTATGAATATTTTTATCATACAAACCCTTAGCAAGCATGCAGTATGACAGGTAAGGCTGATCTTGCGATGTAAGGCGGCGTCATGGGGCATGGCTGCGTCGTGGGGCGGGTCTGGCGTACCCACCACGTTGCGGTTGCAGGCGGCGCGGATCTCGCGAGTCATGCGACGGGCTAGCGCCGTCTCTGAGTCCTCGGCGACCAGGGTGGAAGATTCCTGTAATGTTTATTTTGATGTTGTGTTAAAATGGATGTCTGAAAGATATGGATTTGTGTGATAAGACCGAACAATGTAATCACAACAATCATGACTGCTGAACAGAACCAGGATTGATGATGGATAGACTTCAGGATAAATTATCGAACACGGTTTTAATTAATTAATAACTTTAATTAGGTGTTAACTACAAGGCTCTTGTCTCGGCATTGTTCTCACATAGGGGTACAGTAATGTATATAAAATGTATTATTGGTGAATTGTAAAACAAATATTTTTTTAAAAAGAGCAACGATGGAGTTACTTGCTCGTTCTTCTCCATTCGAATCTACAATTTGGGATGAGCACCTAGCTTCACTGACGAACAGACTGACAGACTACTATCCTATTTTGACGTTTCAAAAGTACCTATTTATGGTTTAGTTGGAATAAATGATTTTGATTTCATTTGATTTGACGGGTTAAGTACCTATAACAAATGGGGTAAATTTCAAAATTCTTCATAATTTATACTTTTCATAACAAGCGCTAGTTGATGCTATGAATATATCGTCAGGCGCACGAACAACAGCACGGTTGGTGCGGTGACTGGGTAATTGGCTGCCGCGCGACGTGTCTCGGGTTCGATTCCCGCAAGAAACTACTCTTTGTGTGATCATTAAATTGTTGTTCCGTGAGCCTGGGTGTGATGTGTATGTGAAATTCTATGTTTTTTACGACACAGGAGATATTACTAGTGTACGGCAGGTTTTTTTTTTAATGTAGCCCAGCAAGAAAATTAATTAAAAATGTATACATACATGATTAGGCGGTTCGTCCAGGTCGATCTGTGTGAGTGTGGAGTTATCCTTCATTGCGTTCAGGAGTAACTGCAGGCCGGCGGCACCCAGACGATTCTCGCGGAGATCTAATCGCTGTGGACATAAATATCATCATAAAATGTGGGAACCCATACTTCACGACCGGAGTGATATCACGGCCTCATAAAAAAACCAGTGTGAAACAATCATAGCGTTGTGTTATACGACCTACTGCCTATAACCAATACTTTAAACCACTTCTATACATAAGCTGTGAGCGTACCTTATAATAAATAAATAAATAAATAGCGTTGTGTTTCGCCGTGAGAGTGAGGTTTCCTTCACCCTTCCATCCCCAGACTTCAAATCCTCTATCCGAAGAAGCCAGCAACGCACTTGGCACGATAGGATTCATACCATCGGCCTTATAGAATACCGGCGTGAAACAACCACAGCGTTGTGTTTCGCTGTATGAGTGAGGTTACCGGACGCCCAATTTCCCATCCTCAAATCTCAAATCCCCTATCCCAAGAGGTCGGCAACGCACTTCTACCAACTCCTTTGGTATTACGAGTGTCCATGGGCGGCGCTGATTGCTTACCATCAGGTAATCAGTATGATCGTTTGCCGACCTAATCTTTTTATATCATGACCATAATAAAAATAAATATACTCCTCTTTAATCACTACATCTAATAAAAAACCGCATTAAAATCCGTTGCGTAGTTTTAAAGAGTTAAGCGTACATAGGGATATAGGAACAGAGAAAGCGACTTTGTTTTATACTATGTAGTGATAAATTTACCTGTAGTTTAGTATCGGTTTTAATGAGGTCAGCTAATGGTTGCGCGGCGTCGGCCCCCAGCCTGGCGGCCTGCAGCCCCAGCGACACTAGCGCCGCCCCGCGGCCGAGGGCGCGGACTCCGTCGCTGCCGAGAGCATTACGACCTACGTTGAGGACGCACAGCGATTGGGATGTACGCTGGAAGAAATTAAATAAATTATGTTTTAACATTGTACGTGCCCACTGCTGAGCAAAGGCCTCTTCTCACACGGAGAAGGCTTGAGAATTAACCACCACGCTTGCTTAAAGCGGTTTGGCGATTTGAAACTTATGAATAGATATTATAAGTCCAGGTTTTGCTCACGATTTTTTCCTTCACCGTTTGTCAGTGGTGTCTGGTTGTCGCGCGACAGTAGCTAGTAGAAAAGTATGGGAATAGTAGAGGCCGATGTAACCGGAGTGATACCACGACCTTACAGAAAAGCGACGTGAAACAACCACAGCGTTATATATCGGCGTGTGAATCAGCATACTGAAAGCCCAATCCTTCCCCTCCAAGTCAATCCAGAAAACAAGTCTTCCAATATTACGGGTACGTGTCCATGGGCGGCACTGATTGCTTACCATCAGGTAATCCGTCTGCTCGTTTGCCTATGACATACATATGTAGAAAAGAAAATTATCTGCTTACCAACGCTTTACTAAGGTAAGGCGCACAATTTCTAGTTAACTGGTTATTCCATAGTACTAAAAACGCCAATCCTCGAACGTCGTGACCTCCCACTGAAATCATACAATACAATCATTATCATCACAAAAAATTAAGAGCTATTATTTCAATCGATCCTATCCCAGGAAAGAAGAAGGAATGGAGTGTATTTTAGTCAGCAAGAGTTTTTTGCTGATCCGAGCCCGGCCGTGAAATATTGTTGAAAATATCAAATAGTATGTCCACAGGGGAGAGTGAAGTTTGAGGGCGGATAGTGGAGGAGGTATGGGTAAAGATGAAGCGCCATGTCCGAGACGACGAAGAATTAAAATTTTTATAATAGATCCCATCATTTGTTCTTTATTTTTACAACTTGTGTCTGCATTGTTCTCACTTAAGGGTACAATAATGTATACTAAATGTTATATTATTGAAATTGTAAAACATTTTTTTTAAAAGAGTAACGATGAAGTTTCTTGCTCGTTTTTCTCTATTCGAATCTACAATTTGGAATGAGCACCTAGCTTCACTGACGAACAGACTGACAGACTACTTCTCTATTTTGACGTTTCAAAAGTACCTATGGTTAGTTGGAATAAATTATTTTGACTTTGACTTTGAAGGAAGAAGCGTTGAAGGGGAAATAGGAGAGCGAGGTGGAGGGCGTAGGTAAGATGGGAGCGGCCGGCTAAGGGGAGATGGAGAAATAACACCCGGTTTCCGAAAGGCCGATCAATGTTAAAATCAATTTAATCTCTTGTCAAGTCATCTGATTGGTTGACTGAATTATCAACAACCAATCAGATGACTTGACAAGAGATTTAACAGGAGATTAGTTGATTTTAGCGTTGACAAGCCTTTCAGAAACCGGTTGCAACAAAGGGAGGTAAAAGGCGGAGGTGAGATGGGTGACGAAGGTGTAAGAGAAGATGGAGGGGTAAGGATCGGGGGGGGGGGGGGGGTTGGATAGAAAATGGAAAGGGATTGGCAGATTATTTATAATATAAATATATTTACCCTGACATCGATGCGGTGACAGCGGTGACGCTGCCGCGGATGGCGGAGACTGCGCCGCTTGCTCGGCTAACGCGTCCGCCAGGTGGGCCGTGCCGGCGTCCTGGAATGACATTACCATACAAAAATTATCAATGATAAATAATTTATGTATATTCCGCGATAAAAAAAATGAATCGCAAAATGTGTTGGTAAGCGCATAACTCAAAAACGCCTGGACCAATTAATTTTTTTGTTGTATTAACTATTGTCAGGAGAATGTTATGACAATAAAACACACAAAAAAAAAGAATTAGCAAAATTAGTCCAGGCGTTGTTGAGTTATGCGCTTACCAACACATTTTGCGATCCATTTTTATACATAAAGATTAAAAAAAACGCAAAAAAGTTTTGTTTTTTATTAAGTAAGTACTTAAAAAAGAAATAAAATTGATCATTAAATCATTTTTATAATTAAGGTCTTATTTTTCAATAGCCAGATAAAAGTTATCTGAGGAATAAAATTGTTGCTGTCACTGTCTTATACAAACATTCTGACGCGACATCATCACAATTATATCGCAGGTAACTTTTGTCTGACCACTGAAAAATCTGCCGTTATTTAAATAAATTTCTTTCCTGCCTTGTGTATTTTTTTTTTTTGCTAAAAAAGTATTCGTCAGATAATATGATAAATAAAAACATAAGTTATATTTGAGATTTAAAAAAGTTTGCCGGATCAGCTAGTATATTGAAAAAAGCTAGTGTAGTGTCCTTATAATGCCTGAAAGAACAAACTTTTTCAAAAGAATACCTGTATCATATTATTTGAGAGATCCAACAGCTGTATGCGAGTATTGTATCGGAGCAGGGAGGCGAGCTGCGCGGCGTCCGAAACGCCCAGTCTGTTGTCACACAACCGAAGCTCTCGGATCGAGCTGTTCGATTTCAGAGCTATCACTGTGGATGGAAAGAAAAAGGAAATTAATTGACCGGAGTGATACGGCGTCATATTTATGGCGTCTATAACACAAGTTAAATCACCAAGTCTGCGGACGGCGAGTAAGGGTAGCTCGTCGCCCGATCAGAAACAAACACGTTGTTATCATCGACAAATATTTTTTTTTATCTACTACTACTAAGAAAATCAGCGCTGCGACTCGATTTATTGCTCTCGGATCACGGCATCTTAGCTGAGCACCTGGCCTTTTTGCGCCGGCGCCGTGCACACTTACCATTTAAGTTGTACCAAATTTTCTTGTTTTTTTTAATTTTTTTAACGTGGAAATTAATATTTTTTGTTTCTTTCTTTCTCCCATCCTCAAATACTTAACCCCTTTTTTGAAGAGGGAGGGGGGTATAAACATCGAATCTCTCGACGAGGTTGAGGCGAGAGGAAGTGTCAGACTGTTACTGACTAAAAACCATCCCGTTCCTTACTCCAGGCCAGATCCGCAGTTCCTTATTACCCGGCAACCTTCACTGGATACAGGCCCTATTGGGCCTCATCTTTGACTTTTTTGTCTGCACCGTTGGCAGTGGGTGCGATTCCCGAGTTTGGTCTGTTTGTAAACGCACCCACGATACCCGACAAAAGGTGGTTGCCCTACAATAGGATTTTGTCCAGCGTATTTTTAAAATATAGATAAATGTTAAGGTAAACCCTAGTTTGGGACAACCTTTTTCTCTAATCATGAAATATCCAAACTAATATTATAAATGCGAAAGTAACTCTGTCGGTCTTTCCTTCACGTCTAAACTACTGAACCGATTTCTGTGACATTTGGTACAGACATAGTTTGGAACTCGAGAAAGGCCTACCTAAAATAGACAATTTTTATACCAAAAATCTGCAGTTATGTCGCTATTCCACGCAAACACGCAAACGGAAGTGAGTAAGTGTGGTAGAGCCATGCTTCGGCACGAATGGGTTGGCTCGACCGGAGTGATACCACGGCCTCATAGAAAACCGGCGTGAAACAACCACAGCGTTGTGTTTCGCCGCGTGAGTGAGGTTACCGGAGGCCCAATCCTTCCCCTCCCCCAACCCCTCCTCAATCCCTAAATCTCCAAATCCCAAATCTCTAATCCCTAAAAGGTTGGCAACGCACTTGTAACTCCTCCATTGCGGGTGTCCATGGGCGGCGCTGATTGCTTACCATCAGGTAATCCGTCGGCTCGTTTGCCGACCTATCACATAAAAAAAACGGAGTCGCGGGCAAAAGCTAGTTTTTTTTTATATTTTATATATTTCCTTACCTAAACATAATAACGGTTCCCCGGTGAGGCAAACCCGTTGAAGGCTGAGCGCTCTCAACGTACAAGTGTACGCTCTTAAGGAACGAGCTAAAACAGGCGCATGTGACGCTTCCAGCGGCGCATCCGTTATCTCCAACTCAGTCAAATCAGCACTCTGTAATTAAATTAAATCAAATTATTTTTATGAAGTATAAGTTTCGTGAGACATTCTAAATTAATTATTATGTCTCGACTAGTTTCAAGCCATGCTGGAGGCCCATATTCATGAGCAGCATTACGCGACACGCGACGCGCCGACTGTCGCGCTGCTACTGGCTATTCGAGTAGTAGAAGCGCGACAGTCGCCTCTAGCATGGCTTAAACTAGTTGAGGCCTCTAGCATGGCTTGAAACTAGTCGAGTATCTCGTCAAATTATTACGCGAGTAAGCCGAAAACATAATCTATACTAATATTATAATGAGGTAAAATTTGTAAGTTTGTATGTAGGGGGTAATCTTTGGAACCGCTGGTCGGATTTCCAAAATTCTTTCACTGATAGATAGCTATAATATTCCTGAGTGCTATAGGCTATAAAACATCACGTTACGATTAAATGGAGCCGAGCAGCGGGTGAAACCGCACGAGAGTAGCTAGTAATTAAATAAAATTTATATTACATTATGGTACACGTGTGTACAGTTGGTGATTACCACAGAAGCGAGGGTCTTAAGGAGTCGAGGACGAAAAATTTACGCACAAGTAAAAAAATAATAATAAAAAAGCCTTATATTTCAAGGAAAATAAGAAAATTAAGACTTAAGTATATAACATTTTTTTTTTACTAAACTTAACCTATTTTGTTTCTTGTTTGAATGAGTTTAAATGCATTTGAAGTTATAAATGTTTTGTTCAGTATTTGGTTTTGTAGGAATTGGAACGCAATAATAGTTAGTTCCATTTTGTGCCGCATGTCGCTACTGTCCTTGATACCGGGTGACAGCCATTTTATCTTTCCTTTTTCTGTTCCCACCGCAATACTACACACACAATATTGTAATTAACGTATTAAAGAAACTATATCGATCAATAACAGTGCTTCATTATGTATGAACCTCCTACAGGTTTGTTTTCCAGAACCCCTTCTGGGGGGAAGGCCTCCCCTAACGGTTTCCATTGCTCCCTATTCAGCTCTTCAGCTTCAGCTCTTTGCTTACCATCAGGTATTACGTCTGCTAATTTATCTACTTCGTCTTATCACATAAAATAAAAATCAAGATTTTCTACATACCTTCTTTATCATTCGAGAAGCGGCCTGCCAGCCTCTGATACCAAACTGTCGAGGCCCAGCTATCGACAATATCGCAGCGCTTTCATAATACTCCGTCATGTCAAATAAAGCCTCCTGCGAATAAGAAATGAAACATTGATTTAGGGCTGCTTTTTCAATAGTCGGAAAAATGTTGTCTGATTAATAAAATTGTTGCTGTCACTTATTTATTTACGCTGGTATTAACGCGGAAAATTATTATTTGAATACCTTGGTAGGCTTGACGTTTCGACCCGGTTGCACAGGTCGCGGTCACAAGCAGACTGAAGACGCGATGTCACAGCTCCCTGTATTCGGGCGATGAATCTTCATCTACCCCCTTATTTTCATTTTCTACCATATTAGGCCGTCTACACACTACGCTGATTGTATGCACAGATGTGTTAACCGACTTTGAAGGAAAGCGAGGTTGTGTTTTGCCACGACCTGTGCAACTGGGTCGAAACTTCAAGCCTACCAAGGTATTCAAATAATAATTTTCCGCGTTAATACCCGTGTAAATAAATATAATGTTGTTAATATGAAACGCGAAAGTTTAAAAGTTAGTTGCTGTCACTGTCTTATACAAACATTCTGACGCGACAGCATCATGTTTAATACCTCTGCATACTTAATCAAGTATTTTCCAACTAATCAAAATCAGTACTTAAACTACATTTTTACAAGAACTTTGTACGATGTGGCGTCATTTATTTTAATTCCGGAACGGGCAAAAATTTGGCCTCTATCACGTCTGGTGGTAAATGATACCGCGACCTACGATGGAGCACGCCTATTCATGGGCAACCTATTGACTCGGCCCTTGAAGACACCCAGGTAATACCCTTCGGGGAACACAGTTGCCGGTCCCTTGTGAGTTATTAGTGATTGGAGAATTCAGAAAGTGGAGTCACACGTCGAAACACAAGATACAATACCGCCAACGTATCTTGGCGAGTCTGAAGTTAGCCGATTAGCTGAGCAGTACACAATTTTGTTTCTAAAAGATCCATTGCGCAGACAAACGGCTAACTTCAGACTCGCCAAGATACGTCGGCCGTACTGTAGGTTAAGTTTTTTGTGAGGTCGTGATATCACTTCGGTCGAGCCGAACCATTCATGCCGAACCTGGGGGTCTACTCTTATTCTACGAAAAACGAACTTTCGATCGAAACTTCGCGTGTTTCCTACCACAGTTTCAATTCGTTCCGAAATATCGTTCGAACGAAATTTTTTGACATTTAGAACCTACTCTAATCCTTATTAGCTCCGAACGAACTTTTGAATTTGACAGACGATTTTTCGGATTTTTAACTTCAAATTGACGAAACCAAAAGTGTTACCTTTTAATTTTCGTTTAGTGTGGATTTTGTATGAAAATTGTTTGAAATGGCTACAAGAATGCTTTAAATCGAAGCTCTTTTACGTGAAGAACGTGTAGAGCGTAGAAGGAACAACCGGCGCTACCTACGCAATCTACTTAATATACCTAAGTCAAATTCTTGACTTAGAGTTTGTAGGACAGTCGCCTATTATTTTGGGAACTACGAGAAACTAACTTTTAGAAAAGTTTTCAAACAAAAACTCATAAGTTGTATGTTATTGTTATGATATGTTTGCATGTAGGTACTCTGATTATTGGGAACGTGTTAGTTAGTTGGAAGGGGTAAAGAAACCAATTGCTGCGCTCGTCGCGGCACAAATATGTAAAAATGGGGAAGTAAATAAAATAACACTTTTGAAAAAAATACTGAGTTTTATTTCCTATGGTTCTGCACTTATAAAACAAAAAATAAAAAAAAATATTAGGTATCATTTTAAATTTCAATTTTCTATTAGAACAGATATAACAAGGAGTATCATTTTAAACAACTTATTAGCATTTTATATAACATTAAAGCAATATCATTACTGTAACACATCCAAGTATATTAAGTTAATATAAAAAAACATTATTTACCAAATAATGCTCAAAATAAAAATATCACACATTGCCATCCCAGTTACATACATTTGTAATTGAACATGAGTGTAATATGAATGGCTTTGTTTTAATTCTATTACATTTTTTTAAAAATTGTTTTAATTAACATTGCATACATTTTTATCTAATTCAACGACAGGTTTCTTTTCAAATGTAAATAATTGGACATTTAGCTTCTACTCGCTTTGTCACACAATTTTCTTCCACCACTACACAGTCAATATTAACGCACAGCCATATCATTATTCACATTAGTTCTTTGTTCTTCCACATCCCTCACATGTTCTTCTAACACCAATTTTGCCTTTTAGCACAGTCTGGGGTTGGAAAATTATTGTGTGTTTATAACACTCAAATCCTGTTCTTTTAATAATATCCATTTTTATACAATTCAATATATACAATTCAATAAAATTCCTTTCACCACATATATTTATTGTCTTTTATAGTATATTTTATTAACTCGTACATTGATAAAAATAAACAATCTGTTGACATTAATTTTTTGACACATGTCGTGCACGGTCCGAATACAGCCATTTTTGGTCGTCATACATAACAACCCTTTCTTGGCATAAAATAGTACTCTTTAAATTAGTCGGTTATAAATGTCTGAAAAAGGTTTTTTATAAAGTAACGATGATAAATTACACGATAAATTACAATTCCGTCAAAAATAAATATATTTTTATTTTCTGCGTGGCATATTATAAGTAATAGTTTTACAAACCACATATATAATGTGGAATTTAAAGAAACAGCCAGAGAATTTGTAATTTTAACTTTAAGTAAAAACCGTAATTTACCACAAATCACATTATAAAGAACCTACACAATTACATTCGTTCACGAAAATTATCTCTGGATCGAACTTCGTATGCGTGTCCGAAAATAAAACAGAGTAGGGTCGTCAACGTTCTTTCGTTCGAGTTTCGTTCGTTTCCGAAAGTTTCGTTTCGAAGAAATAGAGTAGACCCCCTGATCTCTCCCGCACTTAAAGTTGCACCCCAAAATGTAAAACCACTTTTAAATTAATATAGACTTAATTTCAGAACACTTAAAGTTGAAAATTTTCATCATCATCAGCCGGAAGACGTCCACTGCTGGACAAAGGCCTCCTTAGCCCTCCACGTCGAACGACAAGTTGCCACCTGCATCCATTGGCCCCCCGCGACTCTGGCGATGTCGTCGGTCCACCTAGCGGGAGGCCTGCCCACGCTACGTTTTCCGGTCCTTGGTCGCCACTCTAGAACTTTTCGGGCCCATCGACCGTCCGTCTTTAAAAATTTGACAAAGTAACTAACTAACTATCATCCACAGACAGTTTGCGCATATAATAATTACGTATGGCAAGCATTCTTATTATGCTACGAGCTTCGAATCTATTTCTGAATCTTTGGATGCAGGTACGAACGAACTAAAGTGATTCATAAACTTGAAAATACTTCACGAGTGTAAACTTCTTGAGTTGAAACTTAGCCATCTTTTCAGTATTCAAATACAGAAGACAAGGTAAAATATTTTTTAACAAAAAGAGAATCGACTTCAAATAATTAACTAAAAGGCCAAAAATAGGCTTTGTACAAAGTAAGGCATACTTTCATTTAGTTAAATAGAAAATAATATTTTATAATCTTAAATTCGGTGCCAAGCGATGGCTCCAACATCAGGTTGAGTTCGACCTTCGTCAAGTTGTAATGCCTACTAAATCAAAATACAAAGGCACTACTCGCCCCTAAAATTTTTGATAGTTCCCCTCGATTTCTCTGGTCATCATCAGATCCTGATCCTTATCATGGGACCATTCTGGGACTATCTACTTTCTAACAAAATAAAAAAGAATTATCAAAATGGGTTTATGAAAAACGAAGATATCGGAAACATAAAAAAGTAATAAACGGTCGAATTGAGAATCTCCCATCTTTTGAACGTTGGTTAAAAACGATAAGCTTTCTACGTTTTTCCTAAATAGAAAGAAAGGAAGAAAGAAATATTTGTTTGGCACACAGTCACGCGGCGCAGAAAACCACATATTAAAAAAAAACAATAAAATAATAATAAAGAAAAAGGCACTGCGAGTCCCGCGGCTGCGCCATATAGGTTGAGCAAAAAATGCCAGACAACTACATATTTTGCCTGACGCTGGTTTTTAACTGAACTCTAAGTGAATAAGAGTAATGCTTCGGGAACGAGAGTCGGCTCGACCAGTGATACTACAGCCACACAGATAACGTTAAACAAAGTCTGCATTTTTTCGCCGTATTTCGGGTAAAGACACCGGAGAACCAATCCTCATGAATCCTCAAATCTAACACCCAAAATCCGTGTCTTTTTGGCAGCGTCGATTGCTTGCCATTTTATTTCAAAATGGGCAAGCATTTGTCCTGTATCACGCCTGTTGGTAAGCGATGATGCACCTATGATGGAGCACGCTTATCCATAGGCAACCTATTCACTCGGGCCTTGAAGACATCTAGGTTATAGGTCCCTTTGGGGAACACAGAATCGCGCAAAGAACTCCACTCCTTATAGCGGTCCTGATAATAAAATTGAAGGCTAACCGCTACGTGCGATTAGGGTGGGATATCCATCATAAAGCGATCAGGTTTTGCCGATAACATTTAAAAAGGATTATTTTAAAAGAACTCACCGCTCCTTCATCGTCAATGATGCAGTGTTCAATCTCCAGTCTTCTGAACTGGACTTTCCTCATTATGGATTCCAGCGCGTCCACCGCTGCAGCGCCAGAAAGGGAACATTCTGCGAGGGTAAGGCGTGGCGCCCTTGTACCACCACCTATTGAGTCATCTGGTAGTTCCTGGAATAAATATACAAATTTTGTTAAAACCCTCATCTTTTACCTATCTTTTTTAGAGTGGGAGAGCCAGGTACGAAAGCCTCACAGAAAATCGGCGTGCAACAACCACAGCGTTGTGTTTCGCCGTGTGATTGAACTTACCGGAGGCCCAAGCTTTCTTCCTCCATTCCAATTCCTAAATCTCTGAAACCCTGATCCCCAAATGCCCCAAAAGACCGACAACGCACTCGTAAGTCCTCCGCTGTTTCAGGCTAATATGGGCGATGGCGTCGGCGATAGCTTCACCGTCACCATCATCATCAGCCTATAAGTGCCGACTGCTGAGCAAAGGCCTCTTCTCATACGGAGAGAGAACATTAGAGCATTATTCACCACGCTTGCTCAATGCGGGTTGGCGATTTTGAAACTTATAATTAGAAATTACAAGTCAAGGTTTCCTCACGATGTTATCCTTCGCCGTATGTCAGAGGTGTCTAAATAATCATAGAAAGTACATATGTACCTATAACTTGAAAAGGTCACATTGGTACTTGCTAGGTTTCGAACCCACACACACCCTCATGCATGAGAAGCGAGCCCCTTAAACTCCGGGCCACCACGACATCGATCAACCTTTTAAATAAATAAACTAGTCAACTCACCCGTATTTGCTCCAACACGGTATCGATGGATGGCGTGCAATGTCGCCGGCACGCCTCCAAATACTCGGCCGCGAGCTGAGATTTTGTCGTCGTTGGCACTGTGGACAAACGGACAAGAGTATTGTTAAGATAATCTATAGAACCACCTATAAACGATTTTAGCGCCATCTAGTCTAGAGGATAAAGTCAAGTCCAGTCGTATAAGTGTTAATAACTATGGAATTACTGCATTAAATTTGATGTTTTTTGAGACGTGACGTATATGGAAGGACTGCACGGTTGACGCGGCCGTCCAACGTGTCGCGGGTTCGATTCCCGGACGAAACAACTCTGTGTGATCCACAGATTGTTGTTCCGGGTCTGGGTGTTTTGTGTATGTTTGTTAACGCACCCACGACACAGGAGACAATTGTAGTGTGGGGCAACGCTATTACTATACTAATATTATAAAGAGGTAAAATTTGTAAGTTTGTATGTAGGGAGTAATCTTTGGAACCTCTGGTCGAATTGCCAAAATTCTTTCACTGATAGATAGCTACATTGTTCCTGAGTGCTAGAGGCTATAAAACATCACGCTACGATCAAATGGAGCTGAGTAGCAGGTGAAACCGCTTAAGAGTAGCTAGTAAAAAATATATTTTTAAATAGAACTTTATAAAATATATGGTTTTAAAGATTTAAGCGTACATAGGGACCTATGTCCCTATGTACATGTAGGTCAGAGAAAGCGACTTAATTTTATACTATGTAGTGATAACTACTTTCCAATTGCAATATTACGACATACCGAAATACATTCAAGCTTAAAATATATTTTCATCCATTCCAAGAACAACATCGAAACAAATGTCCCCATAACTTGAAAGCGCCATAAAATATTAAGTGCAGTTATAAAAGATGGCGTCACTGGGGGATCTTTAAGCGGGATATAAACCCAGATCTTTGCATATAACACTTTGAATGAAGGTGACGTCATTAGCACATAGCTATCGGGATAAACGCATTAGTCTAGTTTAAAAAGAATGACTCATACTGCACTTGGAATGGAATATAGGTCACTTAAACATAAACTGCTAATAGGAGCGACCCTATTTCTTTTCAAGTACCAACTTAACCGATTCCCAGTCGTTTTCACTGTTATTCAAATAAATATTTAACTGGATTAATTGGAGACCCGATTCTTTTTCCTTCCCAATCCCTAAATCCCTAATCCCCATGCCCAGCAACGAACTCGTAACGCCTTCATTGTTGCGGCTGTCCATGGGCGGCGCTGATTGCATACGAATAGGTAATCCGTAAGCTCGTTTGCTGGCTTATTACATTAAAAAAATCGCGATAAACATTCACAAATTCTTTCATTTAGTTTTAGTATTCAATTATTGTGGTGCAGTAAATTGAAAAAAAACATATAAAAAATAATTGAGAGTTACAATTTATACATCGGAATTACTTATAGAGCGACTATCTCCGGCCACCGAAAGCGCGAGTCTGGGACTACGAGCAAGGGCAGCAGATCCCAGCGTACGGGCAATCCGCGCGCGCCTCAAAGACCCGATAGACCACCACAGACAGTCGAGGTTGCGGGTACAACGAAATAATTATCACGACTCCAGCCCAGAGCAGGAGAAGGAAGAGTTAATTTTTAGTCAGTAAGAGTCTGCACTTGATTTCGCTTCACCCAGGTCGGGAGAAGATATTTGATGATACTTAACCTCAAAAGAAAAGTATCGGAATTGTGATCTTATACAGTGGAAGAGAGGTGACACCAGTGTCTGCTTTGGGTTTGAGCGTAGCAGTTTCAACATCTCCAAAAAGCTCCATGAACGAGCGATTAAAAGCTAGAAACTAAATTTACAAAGAATAAATCAACGAGCAGCCGGATTACTTGATGGTAAGCATTCGGCGCCGCCCATGCAACGCCAGAAAGTTATGAGTGCGTTGTCGGCCTTTGGGGGGATAAGGGCTTCAAGGGATTTAAGGATTGAGGGGGAAGACAGGCCGGTTTGGGCCTCTGGTAACCTCACTCACATGGCGTAAAACAAATTCTGTGGTTGTTTCGCGTCGGTTTTCTGTGACGCCAAACTCTTCCACACTTAAAATCGATTGCGTTCATTTCATTCGATTGTAAAACCTACCCCTTTGAGGAAAAATCGTGTTTTTAAAGTGTGGGTGGTGTGATGTGAGTCATACAAAGAAATAAAGCGAAATTAAAGTAAAATGTAGGTCAGAGCTGTTTATTTTTTTATTGTATAGGTTAGCAAATGAATGAGCAATTGTGTCACGTGATGGTAAGCAGAATGCGCCGCTCGTGGACACGCGCATAGCCGGAGGAGTTCAATTGCATCGTAGACTTTTTGGGGATCTGGGGCAGATAAAAAAAATAAGTGATTTTTTTTTATTATTCCGGCTTGGATATCCCGCTATCACGCCTGCTCGCAAGTGATGATGTGACTTACGATGGAGCATGCCTAAGCAATCTATTCACTCGGGCCTTGAAGACTACCAGGTTATAATACCCTTCGCGGAAAACGGACTCCGGCGAAGAATTGCACTCCTTAGCGGTTCTGACTGATGATAAAACTGGAGGCGAACAGCTTCGTGTATGTGGGTGGGATATCCACCATGAAGCGATGACATTTTGCCGATTGTCTGGTTTTACGATGGTAGAAAAGACTAGGGGGACTCAAGGCGTGTAGCTACCACGAACATTCTCCGAAATGTATCCAATTAATGAAGGCACTCCACCCTGACGCTTCCGACCATGCTAGACACTACAGCTGGAAGCGAGAGATTTCCCGCAGCACCTACGGCCGCGACCAAGTCACGGCACTGCTCGGCCCAAGCTGGGCACTCCGCGAACGTATGCAGCGCAGTATCGTCGAGACAATCATTACAATGGTGGCACTGAGACGTTGGCTCCCGGCCTATGCGACACAGGTACTTCCCGAAACACCCGTGTCCGGTAAGCACCTGCGTTTGATAGCAATGTGTAGCATCCCAACATTTAATTACGCGGGTATCCACGCGAAAATCTTCATCATGTAGGGAGCTGTGACATCGCATCCTCAGTCTGCTTGCGACCACGAACTGTGTAACCAGGTCGTAACGTCAAGCCCTCCAAGGTATTAAAATAATTACTTTTCTCGTTAATAAAAAGGTATAAAAGTTAATGGAGTAACCCCACATTAACTGAATGTGACATAGCTACAGATCTGCTAGATCCACAAAGGGTGAAGCGTGATAAATTACAACTGCAGTGGATTTACAATAACAAAAACAGTGTGTCGGAGATCCGTTATCGCGTACATTGTAAAGGAATAAGGGCGGTTACACAATACAAAGATTCCTATCCTTAAATAAAAATATATTTATGTTCACTGGTCTCGCTAAAACTCTGCAACGGCTGAACCGATTTATAGTTCGTTCCATAATTAAAGACAACGATTTGACATTTCGAGTGTTGCATGTTTTTTCCAATTCATAAATAGTGAAGTCCTGCAACCGAAATTAAATTCTGGACTTCGTGCATTTTAAAAGCTTTATTATTTTTAGCTACTTTCCCTGGTACCTTCCTGTGCCCATACTAACTCAGTCGGGTTAAAATCACAATGGTAAGGAGGCAACCGTAAATTAGTGCCCACCTTTTAGCAGCCCTCAGTCCACGACGTATCGTTCATAATTACTCTTCTATTTCCGGGAAATCTCCAACAGCTCGGCTTTCAGCATAGGTTCCTCAAATATAATGTTTTTCTTTTTTGGATTTGGCATTTTTATTTTAAATTATTATTATTAATTCCACTAAACTATAAAAACATCACCGCAACGTTGTTTTATTTTGCTCAGGGTATTTCATAAAAAACGGTATCGGTATTTTATTTTAAACATCGTACTCGACCCATCACTATGTTAAAAAATCTGGCCACATTATTTTGTAGTTTGACATTTGCAGTTGTCAAATTGTTGTCTCTAATTATGGAACGAACTATAGTTAATTTCGGCAAACGAATAGACGGATTATTATTTGATGGTAAGCAAACGGCGGCCAATCACAGGGGTAGTACGGTAAGGGGGATGCCTTTGTCTAGCAGTGGACATCTGCCGGCTGATGATGATGATGATGAAACGGCGGCCGATCACAGGCGCTGCCCAAGGACACACTTTTTGCCCGCTGGTGTTATGGTGTTGCACCATAACACGACAGGTATTACGAGAGGACCCATAACTAAAAATAAAACAACATATTCGCTATGACGAGTGACACAGACTGACTTATATTTTAAATCATAGAACATCTATACTAAAATTATAAAGAGTTTGTTTGATCGCGCTAATCTCCGAAACAACTGGTTCGATATGAACAATTCTCTTTGTGTTTGTTAGTCCATTTATTGAGGACGGCTATAGGTTATAAAATATTACGCTAGGATCTTTGAGCAGGAGAAGGAACGGGGGCGTCTGACTCTCTCTCGCCTCACCTTGGGCGGGAGAATTTCAAGTCACTTGGTGACAGCCGGTATTAATAACGAATTGTACAGATATTAAACCTGTAAGAGACGTCTTGAGGATAAGGGTTTCGGATATAAGGACCGAGAAGGGGAAGAATCGGAGCTTCGGTAATCTTACCCACACCTCGCCTGTTTAGTAAACAAATAATCTCTTTCTCTCTTTTTTTCTCTTTTTAGAAAAACGTTGCCTTACATTACGATTTTCTCCTGTATCGTGGGGTTTTTTTTGTGAGGGGAAAATCATCAAATGACTTCTCCCGCCCAGGGCCGGGCAGGAGGGAGTGTACGACTCTTACTGACTAAAAACCCCCCTGTTCCTTCTCCTGATCTGTGCCAAGGTCGCGGTGACTCATTGCGCTTACTGGGTGCGGTTACAAATATACAATTTCACATGCACATGACACCCAGACCAGGAACGAAAATTTGTGGATCACGATGCTCGGCTGCCAGTTGCCCAGCCACCGCGCCAACCGCGCAGTCAACAATATTAAGTGAGTGCCTCTTATAGACGTGCCCTAACAGTAGTTATCAATATAAATCGCTGTATGACTTCAGCGACTGACCTCGGCATGCAATGTCAGGGTCGAACCATGTTAGGAACATACACAACACCACGTGGACATACATAATTTCTTTCCTGAGATCTTACGGTCGAAATTAATCACCATCATCATCATAATCATCATACAAACCACAAGACCTCCACTTCTGAACAAAAGATATTGAACCGCTGGAATTGGAGATTTGGAGATTGGGGGAGGAGAAAAATTGGGCCTCCGGTAACTTCACTCAAACAACGTTAATGTTGTTGCACGCCAGTTTTCTGTGAGGCTGTGGTATTATATTATACATTAATGCCAAAACATGACTCTCCAACACAATTTATTTTTTTATTTTTTAATAAAACGTTGCCCCACATTAGGGTTTTTTCTTGTGTCGTGGGTGCGGTTACAAACATACAATTTCACATTCACATGACACCCACACCCGGAACAACAATTTGTGGATCACATAAAGAGTGTTCCGTGCGGGAATCGAACCCGCGACACGTTGCACGGCAGCCACTTGCCCAGCCACGGCACCAACCGTGCGGTGTAGTCAACATCAACGTTTAATTAAACTCCGTGCACTTCAGCTTCAGATCGATCGATAAATGTTTATAAACAACAAAATTGGAGTTCATTATAAAGAACTACAACAAAACAACTCTAGTGGACAATTACGTAAAGGTATGTAAACACTGAAGCAAAGGTTTCCGCTACCATATGACCTCATCGATATGACCTTGGACCGTTTCAAGTTTATTAGGGGTTGGTTAGTTATTACAGCTATTGGAATGAATGGCTTCTATGAAGCGGTGTACTTTAGCTAGCTTATAGAGCTAATGTTCATGTATTACATGTTTAAGTGTGGGAGAGCCATGCTTCGGCACGAGTGGGTCGGCTCGACCGGAGTGATACCACGGCCTCACAGAAAACCGGCGTGAAATAACCACAGCGTTGTGTTTCGCCGTGTGAGTGAGGTTACCGGAGGCCCAATCCTTCCCCTCCCCCAATCCCTCCTAAATCCCTAAATCTCCAAATCCCTAATCCCTAAAAGGTCGGCAACGCACTCGTAACTCCTCCGTTGCGAGTGTCCATGGGCGGCGCTGATTGCTTACCATCAGGTAACCCGTCTGCTCGTTTGCCGACCTATTAAATAAAAATTAAAAAAAATTACTAGCGACCCTACCCGGCTTCGCTCGGATGCAATGCTGATACTAAATGTCTCCACCATTTAACAGATGTTATTAATTATTTATGTTAATACTGATTACCAAAGAAAAGTTAACAACGTTCTTATGTTCCTCATGCACTCCAATACAATTTCCTTTCATCCATCGGCAAACAAATTAATAGTTGCATTAGACTCCAGGAGATCGTTAAGCAAGACTTCATAATCATTATCATCATCATCAGACGGAAGACGTCCACAGCTGGACAAAGGCCTCCCCCTTAGCTCTCCACGTCGAACGACAAGTTGCCACCTGCATCCATTGGCTCCCCGCGACTTTGACGCTGTCGTCGGTCCACCAAGAGAGAAGCAAGCCTTAGAGTGCAGGAAATTGGCGCTTTAGCACGTGCGACAGTCCGACACTGGGATACGGCAAACACTTTGTGATTTTTACTTCGCAGTAGTTATTATAACCTACCTCTTCAATCACTCATACCCGGTTTCTGAAAGGCTTGTCAACGCTAAAATTAACTAATCTCCTGTTAAATCTCTTGTCAAGTCATCTGATTGGTTGTTGATAATTCAGTCAACCAATCAGACGACTTGACAAGAGATTAAATTGATTTTAACATTGATCGGCCTTTCGGAAACCGGGTGTCAATCTATTAGAAAAAACCGAATGAAAATCCGTTGCGTAGGGAGATCTATGTATATTATACTATGTAGTGACGTGGCTCGATTGATATGGGCTGTCCAGCCAAGTGATGGTGGCGTGGACTAGCTATCGTGTTGAAGTGCTTTCCCGGTTTTTGGGGATGCGGTAAGAGAATGATTGGCCTCCACTAACCTCACTCACAGTGCGTAACGCTGAATTTCTATGAGGCTTTTTTTTTTGTGAGGCGAAAATCATCAATCACATGAATTCTCTCGCCCGGGGTGAGGCAAGAGGGAGTGTCAGACTCTTACTGACTAAAAACCCTCCCGTTCCTTCTCCTGCTTTAGGCCACGCTTTATTCCACTTACCCCGCAACCAGAGCTAAACATCAGTCTTACAGGGACCCGTCTATGGTGGTCTTTTGGCTCTATGAGGCGCGCGCGGAACGGTACGCGCCGTACGCTCGGGTCTGGTTCTGGTCACAGACCCGCGCTATGAAGTCGTAAACTTAAGTAGTCCATTCATAGCAACCTACCCCTACTATGTGTATAGTCAATAATTTATTAGTTACTAGGTACTCTCGCGCGGTTTCA